GGAAGAAAGAAGAGCCATTATTAACTGACCACAACCGAAATTTGCCGAAGATGTTCGCAGCTTCCTGGGACTGGCTTCTTACTACAGACGTTTCGTACGCGAGTTCGCATCCCTGGTAGCACATTTACATCGTCTGATGCATAAAGGACGAAGATTTGTGTGGACCACAGGATGTCAACAGGCATTTAGCCCTTTGAAGTCACATCTTGCTGACCCACCCATACCGGCGTTTCCGTACACTTCGGATAAAGAGGGTGAGTTTGTACTTGATACATATGCTAGCTCATCGGATATTGGAGCAGTCCCGTCTCAAATAGCACACGATGGACAGGAGCGGGCCATAGCGCACGCTAGTCGGTGGTTAGATAAGCGAAAGACAAGGTATTCGATGAATCGCCGAGAGATGCTGGCTTTGGTAAAATTTTCACAACATTTTCGCCACTACCTCCTAGGAAGACCCTTTCGTGTACGCACAGACCACCGTGCATTACAGGTAGCGCACTGACTAGAGAAGTTGCAGGAGTTTGATTTTACTTGCGAACACCGACCCGGAAGCCGACACACAAACGCCGATTCTCCGTCTCGTATACCCTATTCTCCTACTACCATTAGCGCTGTCCTTAGCACAGCGCCCGAGATCGACTGGCCGTCTCTTCAAACAGCAGACCCTGGTCTGCGAATCATTTATCTAAGGCGACTACATGGAAATAATAAACCATCTCTGGCAGGGTTGAAGGATCATACCTTGGCGATGCGCCGTCTCTGTGCGAAGTGGAGCAGTCTGAGATTGTATGAAGACATGTTATTTATAATCAGTGAGTCAAAATAGCCACTGTTGATAGTACCACATGTACAAGTTCAGAATATTATGGAGTAGGTGCATCGAGAACTTGGGCACTCAGGAAAACGGAAGACCGAACATGCGATCTGCCAGAGGTTTTGATGGCCATCCATCCATGAAGACGTAGCAGAATTCTGCAAATATTGTAGCACATGTTATGTCATTAAGTTACCATGACAAATACCTCGTGCACCCTTAGTTCCAATGAATGCAGATCCACATCAGCGAGTTTGTATCGATATTATGGGGCCACTCACAACGTCAGAGAACGGCAACCGCGATATACTGGAGTTAGTAGATTATTTTGTCAAATGGTGTGAAGCCGTTCCTATACCACAACAAGATGCCCTCACAGTCTCTCGGGCTTTTGTTGATCGTTGGGTATCCCGGTACTGCGCCCTATTCTCCCTCCATTCTGACCAAAGTGCGATTTTGAAAGTCATCTCATCGCCCAGGTATGTCGATTATTGGGAATCCGAAAAACACAAACTACCGCACATCATCCAGAAGGTAACGGCTTAGTGGAAAGAAAAAAACGGGACCATCAAAATTCTCCTATAGTAGTTTATAAGTAAGTCGTCAACGGGATGTTGGGATGATGTGATACCCCAATGCTTTTTAACGTACCGCGCATCAGTGCACGGATCCACGGGATTTTCACCTGTGACCTTACTCTTTGGACATGAATTGTGCCTACCTATTGAGCTACAGATACCGTTGTTACCATGCTAGGCTCAAGATCATGTGTTATACATCCGTAAACTTCGCAGCCATCTAGCCGACGCATTATCGCCTAATCAAGATCAACCTACAAAATGCCAGAAAACACCAAAAGGACGTGTACGAACGCAAGGCGAATGGGCTTGTGTGTAAACCTGTAGATAGTGTTTGGCGGCACCGTCCTTTGGTTATACCAGGGACATCCAGCAAGTTCCACCAACCTTGGCAAGGACCTTACGAAGTTGTGTGTACTCGGTCTCCTACTACATTCGTCCTACCTAACCTCTAATGGCCCCAAGACGATGATATAACGGCACACTACAATCAATTGAAGTCAGAACAACGGTGCACTCAGATGCCCCGGATGTTGATCCACCGACTGCCGTCAGCCAACATGAAGTGCCACCAGAAGGAGGGGTAGCATACCCATGTCCAGCACCAGGCGCTTGGGACAGTGCCTCATGGAGAGATGGGGTGGTGTAACGGTATTTAAAATCATTACATATGACGTTACTAATGTGAGTTTGTTTTCTTCATTGTAGGGCAACAAAGAGTGAGCATACTAGAAAAAGAGGATTAAACCTTAAGCAAGCTGAACCTGCAGAACAATTAATAAACTCATTTCGTAATAAGCTTCCCTTTTTTTACTCGAACCGCGTCTTTCAATTTTTAAATATATCTCTGTTGTGCCAGTGCACCGCGTTTTCACTTCAGAGGCAGTTACCAGGCCATTAATTGCTGAATGGTAGGCCGTCACTTTTGCATGGTGTGTTCCCAAAGTTATAGTGAATTCTTAGAACAAAACTGACTAAGATTGGTGGTCACGCACAGTAGCAATAGTAAGTTGGGTGAAGAAATAGGAAATCCAACGATCAAGTAATACTAAAGCTATTTGTTTGGCTGAATTACTGTTTATTTGGCAAACTGTGGCCCATCGAGTGAATCTGCACAGGGCGTTAAATATATAAGTTAAACAATCGAATTGTGAGTGGCGACCGACGATTTCAAAGTGCACGCGTTGTAATAGCCTTTCTGATTTTGCAAACTTCGTAAGTCGACAGACGGTGTTGTTGGGATTTGCTGCACTGGCACTAAATATACGTCACTTCCGCCTTCAGACACCTGGATTCATAAAGGGTACAACAAAGATTCCGTCTATATGTCTAGTGGTTACTAGAATTAGAGAAAGGGGGTGTTGACATACCAGTTTCAAATACGAAAGTGCGACTGGCACATGAGGTAACATCACAAACGATAGTAGAATCCGATAAACTAATTAGGATCGGTCTAATTAGTACCGTAGATTTTTCTTTGGGAACTTCTAAATAGGTAGTACCTACCTTCGAATGCACCCTCACATAGATGGTGAGTCTGTTGACTTAATGAAGTCATAAACCCAGACACAATGACTACTGATAAAGTAAAACTAACATTTTTATCAACAGCAAAATTTTCTACAATTGTACCACTACAACCTTTGGTCTACATTTATCTTCACAATGGGAGACACACACCACATCGACAGCAAATAACTAATATACAGAACATTAGTACATTAACTGCTATCATCTCTACACAGTCATATTCCTCTGATCTATTTTATTCTGCCCCATCTATCAAACATTCGTACACTTCCCTGTCACTCTGTACATGACATCATGCTAATGAATTGTCGACATCAGAAATGACTCGGTATTTCCCGGTCGACCGACAGTTTTAATTCAAGTGACTGATGTATATAGTTACACCGTATTTTATGAGTACAAGATGCTGTTTGTAATTTTGTCTTCCTTTTCGAACAGATACACTACATATAATATTTATGTCCTAAGGTAAGTCCAAAGTATTAAACCATAGTGTTAGCCTCACCTTGTGTACACCTCGACATTAAACTTAACTCAGGTCAAGCCACTAGATCTTCTGACCAAGTAGAAAGCCGTGGAAACGCACCACCCCATTCGAAGCCAAGTCAGATACTGAATCGATGTTATTAACAAAATATCGATTACACTGTGAATTTGAAATAATATAATGTGAGAAGTCCAATCCCAATAAGTCCAGAACTTCAACAAGACACAACAAAGAACTCAAATTTGAAGCACGCAGTACGACATTACATTGTAATATTGTTATACGTTTAAACAAAACATGGAATGTTCAACTCTACGGTAAATGTATTGATTGCTCATAACACCCGACACGCGTTGTCCGTCCATGTGTGTATAATGTCATCTGAATTTCTTCTCAGTTCCGTTAGATCCCAATTGTTCAGTTATCTAATTTTTACTTTCTTCATCTGAAGATCTTTTAAGTGTAGATGTGCATTCACTCCACATTTCGTTACCATCAAATTACAAACAACTATTGCCGTTGCGTGGTAGTTGCAACAAGTGACGTTGACTTGAAAGTATATACTATAACCATAGTTCATGAACAAAATACACTATACATTAAAGAAGCTAATGTTTGCCGACCTTACTTTAATGAACCATGTAAAATTCTGAGCACGTCTAACCTGACTGAATACGCACTAAAATAGTACATAGAATTTCTAAGGAAAAATGACCTCGATTGCTACTCATTATTGACCGAGTTATTATTTATCACGAAACTAAAGATGCCATATGTATTTGGATTTTAACAACGCCTTCACATGTAATACCTTTAAAATCGAAGTATAACAACCCAGCCAACTCAGGAATCAGAAATGAAGAGGTTCGGAAATGTGTTTGAAAGACTATCGATATATCGGGAGGAGTTTATTCTAAGCTGGTTGAAGGTTTTAAGAGATGTGTGGCACGACGTACCCACTCGTGATCTGGTGCGAATGAATAACCGAGCATTTTCAACCAGGTGTGTCCAGTGAAAATAATGTCAGTATAAATGCCGTGGATTCACAGAACTACTTATTTTGGAGATTTATATACTGCTACAGAACATCAGGCAGTTGTAAAGCTGTGGTTGGACGTAGTCGACAGGAAACACTGAATATAACTTTTGTGCTATTGGGTACTCGCCAGTAAGGTGAACCTGCAACCTTGGGAGAACTGGTGTTCCCTGGCAGAAGGACCTGACACATTATATGGGTCACTACCAACTGACCAAGCAATTTTAAGTATTAGACAGTTCTTTGCAGACACCGGTTACGTACAGTAAGGTGCCACAGTCACTTGTTTATGAATAAATACGCCGACTAATGCTGCAAGTCATGGCTGTTAATATACATTCAACGCAAGGACGTATTCACTATGCTGATCCAAAAACATATTATTAATTTTACAATTTAAGTGAAATACAACAAACTTTGAAGACTAGGATTCAAAAGACTTGAGAACTAAATTTTTAAAATAAATCAATGTATATAAAAATTTTCCTTCTAAAAAATAAACCAAATGTTTTCAGAGAAAGCATTAGTGTTACAGAAAATAAAACAACCTGTCAACAGAGTAACTATGGTCACATATTTACAATATTCAGAATTTTAACGGAACTGTCTTGTGAACAATGTCTAACTCGAAGTGAACTCTTTGAACATAAATTGGTTTGTTTGTTACAAAACTTCGTTAATCTTTTGCGTCACCTATACCATCGGCAAGAATAGCGTACATAGCTTCAGCTTCTGGTAAACAAGGACTGTCATAAATTTTACAGATTCTAGTTTCTCCACGACCTTTTCTGAGGTATAATCTGAAAGGAGGTTGGATTTTTTCGAGAGAAATAATGACACATAAATGTATAGGTATCAATGCCAAGGTGGAAGTTGATAGTTTCAAATAAATTGAACATTGGGTAGAAAGTTAATAATAAATATATTTTTGTTATGTCCCGATCAGTAGGAAATTTATATTTCAGATGTTTCGTGAATTAATGTAAGCCACTTCATTTATTTACTCTGAAAAGTGACTTACATTAAGCCACGAAACGTCGGAAATACAATTTTTTTACTCATTGGTCTGTAAAAAAATTTTATTCATTACTTATACAACAGTAAAAAACTTTTAAACCGATTGGCGTTAAGACATCATAAATGACTGAGATAGATCAATGATAATTTACAAAACGGACGGACAAGTGAACAACGCGGTTACTGAAAAAAAAGGGAAATTAATGACTGAATATGATGTGGAGGTAAACACGATATTTATGTATAAAAATATAACAGTCGAGTTGTTTATCAGATGACAGACTACTGAGCAAAAGTGCAAATGACGATCTTGCAATTAATCAATGAATCTACAACTTCATTCTGTATCATCAACAAACGACGTACCATACACGGATATTCATCAATTGAAGCATGTCATATTCAACGACAAAGCTCATTTATAAATCTTGTTGTTACGTAGCATGTGAGTCCATAAGTAAGCGACTAATGTTAGCCAGGTATATTAAATAAATCGATGCTAGAAAACCTGATAACAGGTTGTTTCGTCGATACTCATTAACATCACTTCTAAATGATTCGGTAAGAAAAATAGTATAATATAGATTTTAAGAAGACCACAAATTAAAAGAGACCAAAAGTAAAAACAGACTTATGAATAAGTTAAATAAGAAACCTTAGAGCACCTTCTGAAGTCGTCGATCCGCATTTATCGATCGGAAACAGTCCTATCAACACGTTCGAACTATTCTTGTACTGAACCTGTATATTAACGTGTACAAAAGCGATCCCCTTAAAACTAGCTATGAACTCTAACTAAGTAGTGTATTAAAGAAAACTTGTGTTCCGATACTCCCATACATATTTGAGCCTAATGTGATGATATGGAAAAGACATAATCTGAAGAGGTAACACCAAAGACAAACACTTGTTATTGATTTCCTTTAATGAAGCAGTTAGCATTAGAGTTCTGAAGATAACGAAGATATGATGAAAACTCATTAGATTTATAGTCTGAATTTATTCAGATAAAAGTAAACTTCATAATTAAGATGATCGTAACTAGGGTGATCATTAAGAAATAGTCAGTATGATGAAACTGGATTGTGTTTGTTTTTATATGACAATTATACAACTGTGAAACTCTACACACTTCAATTATCGTACTGAAATAACTACTAGGTTCGTGGCCTCTCTAAATGAAGGAATGATTTAAAAAAAACTGTTTATAAACTTTATCTTACGTATATGTAGCAAAGTTTTAAAGTATTATGTTATAAATGTCAAAATAATAGCCAAGCAATCTGAAATAAATCAATCACTAGTAACTGTTTAGCAGAGTAGCTAACCATTTTAATCATTATAACATATATTTGAAAAAAAAGTTTTCAGGAATTTCAATGACTAACCGGGTAGTTGAAGCATGACCCATTATATTTCCACCAATAGGTTTCTTAGGGTCAGCAGAGAACATAGCAGCACCGTCAACTTGAGCGACTACCTGATTAGTAATAACTACAGCCACACCAAATTCATCAGCCAGTCGTAATAATGTACGTAAAAACCTAGCCAAATGCATTTGTCGTGCTGATAATTCCCCACGACCAGAATAATCAGTACGATAAAGAGCTGTGGCGCTATCAACAATTAGTAATGCATATCTAAAATAGTTGAAAATAAAACGTACTGGAATGAAACAATGTTTGACACTTTTGACAGATTATTAAACATTAAGAAATCTTTTCAACTAAAAAAACGAATTATCCGTCGTGAGTTTGTAAGTGTCATTACCAAGGTTTGATTTGATAATTTCGAATAAATTGAGCATTGGGTTGATTGTTATAAATATATTATTTTTATTTATATCCGTCGTGAGTACAACACAATAGGGAACTGATCACTGTGGTTCGTTAAAAAGTTACAAATATAAATTTACGGAGAAACAAGTGAATTTACATTTCGCTTTAGTCGAATTGATAATATGACCAATATGGGCACATACTGTGATTTCATAGATTGGTAAGAAAAAAAAATCGATTTGATTATCTACATAATCCAACTCATCTGTTCTCATGTATACAAAGAAAATATTAATAAGTGTAAAGTTCCTGTTAAATGTTCACCACCAGTATTCATAATGACCCAGATACACAAATTTCTCGACCACTACTAACGGAATAACACAAAGAGTGAGCGTAAGCACAAACTTCTCCCAGTCTTGCAGGAGTAATGTGCATTCAAAAGGTAAAAAGTACATCCCATAATTACAGACACTAATTTCTAACTGGCTTAATGCAATTTAAATAGATTATGTATTACTGCATAGTAAGACAATGCCATTCGTGTAAAGTTGGAGGATGGTGAGACTAGACAACCCAAACCCTAACCAAACTGCTACAAGATAATTAATGTAACTATTCCAAATCTCTGTAAGATATATGAGCTAAAACATATGCGCAGATAGAAGTAAGCAATACATAATAAAAACAATATGAAATCTAAGTACTGAAAGTTTTGGAACGAGTCAATATGTGTAACATGCAAATAAAGGAGAACGTAAACGATTAATATTCGTGAAAAGACAAATGAGATGCTACTTGGCTGTCCAAGCTGTTATATCTGAACGAAGAATAAACGAATGGTAACTGCTAGGAATTATTTATGGACCATTATTTAATATATATATTATATATTCATATTCCTCCTATAATAAGATTTCACCTAACTTATCGGCCATTTTTATACAATTTACCATTCTTAACTTATTCCCAATTTATCAGTTACATTATCCCACACTCAGCCACTTTTGGCTTGATTTTGTATAATTATTATTTCTCATTTTATTGTGTGATGCGGCCTGATCTACTTGCATATAAACTACGTCTGTTTGAAATATATTATTTCGTACAATAGGGGCGGATATTGTGTTCTGAACTGAAACGGGCTGGATTAGGCGAGAAGATACTATGCGAAGGACTGACAAGGACTCAAAGTTGATTCAAGGTTGGTCGTGTTGGTTAACGAGTCACTGGCATAAGGTCAGATAAGTCGGTATTCTAGTTGTGATTTTGCCACGTGATATTTGACAGGACATAGGACACAACACAAGCCAAACTAGATGAACACTTATTCACTAATTCAAATTGGAGACATTTAAGATTCTAGTCTAGACTTGTTAGGTTTGTCTAACGACTCAAAAATGCAAAGCATGTAGAAATTTTTCGTAAGATGGATAATATGGTTCTCAGGAAGCAATATGAAAACCCGTTAAATTTATAAGGAACACCAGTATCGAAAAGATGAAAATTGTCATTTTTAGAAACCTTTTTGATTTCAACTAATTTTCCTATAAACCCGTTAACATGAAGAAAAAAATACATGGAACGTGGGGGTAGGATATTATCATTGTACAAAATAACAATGTTTTGAATAACGAGAATAATAAGCAGAGATAGATGGTGCCTTGCAGTGGAATCCAAGACGCGCGTCTCGTCCTATCTGGGACTTGTCAGACGGATGTACCTACATCCAAGAGTTGTTCACTCCGACTCAAACCCAGTACCGTCCACTTCAAACGCTATCGCGAGTCCAGATAGCCACTAGCTTGTGTAATCTGGTAGTTTAATTTATTTTTGTATTGGCTGTTTGAATCTTCCTATTGACGTTTAGGACTGCAACTGATCGATCTTTTTTCAACATACGTTCATCCTGTGAGGATTGCCTTAATACTAATACTGCATTATAACCAAAGATGGATAGTGAATAATATCAACTCTGGGATCCAGGTACATCCAGCTGCCGAGTCCTGGATCCCACTGTTAGCTACCAACCATCTCTGTTTATAATGCTTGTGTCTTGAGACAATATAAAGGCAATCCGCACATGATGCTCATATTATAGTAAGAGATTGATCTATTGCAGTCCTAAAAGTCAATGGGAAGATTAAAAAACAATACAAAAATAGTGAGAATAGTTTATATGCACCTGTAATATGATCCTATCTTACGCAGAAAAGTTCAAGCTGGATGCTAGTAAAAACATTAAACAGTTAGGTGATAAAGAGCGTTAAACTGAACTTTATTATGGTCATCATGTTGCTAGTTATCATCTTTACTCACTATACCATAAATGATGACTTTATCAACACTTTAAGCAAGAAAACATCTTACCTTGACTCACTCATCATAGCCGCTGCGTTAATAAGTAATTCCATTTGATGATCAGTATTATAGGCTCTGGCATAAGCCACATTGTCTAGGACATCGCTACCAGATAAACCATATCTTTCTGCAACTGCTAGCAAACGTTCAGGACGAAAAGTGCCTTCCGTATCAATATACAAACATTTCCCCTCACCACCACCCATATCAATGGGTAACTAGTAACAGAAATAGAAAAACACACCTGACTGAATACAAGTGCTATACAACCACTCCTCATCTCGAAGCAAGACATATACTGGAGTAGAAGCAAGTTAAAAGAAAGCTAGGGGCATTGATTCATAAGGTCTCTGATCATTAGTCTGAGCTATGTTGCATATATGTGCCTGGTCCTACGTTGTAGCTGACTGATGTTGCAAACTATTAGGTTGGGGTTCTAGTGATTTTGCAACTAATGGTTGCAGATATTTGGTAGCGCGGTTCACAATTGGTTGCAATGCCTTAGATACATTTAAGCTGTCTCCTCTCAGATCCAGAGTTTAGAAATCTTTCCAGACCTTTTATTGTGCTAGTTATCGACTCTTATCCGCCATGTCTAACCATTCTTAATAACACTGATACTACAACTATTTTTACTTCAGTACTTCCGTTGATAACTTGGTATCAATGTCCCAGTGTGGTATGTGGCAACTTGGGCCGATGCACATGTCGCAGGCTCTATACTGTTTATGAATGACTCACCGCATGGTATACTAGTTTCGATACGACGTAAGTGACAAGCAACTGGCAACTATAAGATCAATTCTGAGGTTTGTCGAGTGTTTTCTTAATACAAACTTCCCATTCGTAAATAATAATCCAACCACATTACATCTCATCATACAACTCAGAGGATCAGGCAGTCGTGGATCAATCTCTGAGTTTTAGAACACTGATAATTCTAATTTTGTAAGTGGACTCTCTAATTATTTGTTTATTTGAGAACATGAGATGCTATACTAATGAAAACGATCAAATCCATAACTATTTTACAGTTATGTAGCAAAAGATGCTATGTTATAGTACATCTCACAATAACTAATGAGAGGATGTACTTTGTACATAAGTTGATGTATGCTTATAAAACTTTGTGTTCCTGCTCAAATGTTATCTAGCATCACAACAGTGAAGTCAATCATACAAACCGATCATCTTAAATTGTCAAAATGAACACAGAAAAGTTGAGAAATAGTAGTTTGTATCCGAACAGAAAAAATATTTCCTTAACATCCTGAAATTTACAATATCCACGGTATTCGGAGCACACAATGTGTTTATTTTACTGCTATATAACTCATTTACCAAGCAAAATCAGTGTTAGGCCTGTAAACAGATGGTTGAGACCTGAGGGTTTATCATTACTTTAGCTAAACACATAAGCGTCTCCGTCCAACTTTCATTTTTATAGTAGGTATTTGAACCGGACTTCCACATGAGTTTCCGGAAATCAATGTTCCACCGAAATAACAAGGCAATGAGTTTTTTAACAAGCAATATATACGGCCGTGAGTTTGAATGGTAGCTTACTTGACGACACTGCTTACCACCTTGCTAACTTCAATTTAGCAGTCGATACTGTTGGCTCTGAAACTGTATAAATTTGAATGTGAAGAAAATACCGAATAAATTTATTATGTTACCAAGGGTATTATTCGACGAGAAGAAGCTTAGAGCTTACTCGGTAGTGATATTTGGAGGGATGACATTTGTTGTTCTCAAAGAATGAATGTTCTGAAACGAATATCCCTACAAATCTACTGCAATAACTGACCAGGTTTTCAGTTTGATCTCAGAGAATTGGTTCACGTTGAGAATCTCTGAGTAGAGTAACACATACGAAAAACAAAGCCTTGTTAGTTGAAGATAACTGAAAACATCTGTAATGAGTGTATCAACTATTTCAAAGACTATAGCTTAGGTCTAAATACTACATCGTATCTAACAATGTTAACAGAACTCTGAATCTATAATGCTTGCTTAGTTTAGCTTTGGTCAATCCAAAAACAAACAATCGAAATGGTAAAATATTTCTTAAACGGTTTCACTGAGGCTCATTCAGGGAACAACCAATGTATTACAACACAAAAATTTAGTGAAATCTGCATTACCTGACAAGTTACGGCTAAAGTATGACATATCTGTGTTTTTCCAGTTCGAAACTCCCCAAACAACTCCGTAATTGATCCAGTTTCAATACCACCTACAGTGATAAGCAACTAATGGATCACCGGTACCTTGTAACAGTTTATCTAACTCTTTTGAGCCAGTGGTTAACTGGATAATTTCTGACCGTTTTTGATGAAATTCAGTAGCAGTTGTAAATCCAAACGGGACTAACTTTTGAGCAGCTTCCTGCAATGTAGTAAACGCCTAAATTATTTTTACTATAATTTTGTCCGCTTTAGCTTCGCTAATCCCTTTTACTGCCAACAGAGTTTTCTTTGGAACAAACTGGATACTTTCAACAGTGTGAAAGCCTGCCTCTCGAAGCTTTTTAACGTCAGCAGCAGCAATCCCAGCGGACTGAAAAAGTATGAAGTTCAAGAGAAAATAACTTGTTAAACAAAATAATCGTCAGTCAACTGCGTGTTAACCTTTCTAAGGAATTTGTGATAATCTCAATTGTCTGGACAATACATCTAGCCGACTGAAGGATGTCTAGACAAATCCTAATATTAAGGTCTCTTCACTGACTAAGCGTTTTGTAAAGACCCACGTACCGTCAAGTGGAACGGCAACCAATTAGGATGTGTGACACCTACAGTAATTTTTTCTGACGTTTATGTTGTAGAGCTGAATACTTGAATTTGCAACTTATGAACATAGCTCTGAAATCTGCACTGGAATAAAAATGTAAAAATGCGGGGATTCCTCAAATATTATATTGGTTAGTTCTTATGATAGGTATAAATATATAACCAGTTCTTTAATAACATATGTAAAGGAGCTACTATGTTTAAAACATTTTGAGTTAACTGACTGCTTGCCACCAAGCACCCTTGAGAACTACAGCTTGCATATTTTAAAAGCAGGTGGATATTAGTATGATAGCATTTTACGCTTAGTATTACAGCTGTTTTGTTTTGTTTTCTTTTTCGATAGAAAAACTTACTTCCAACTTTTGTATGAGCAGTGGACCACAATTTTCGTCATCTACTCGGTCATCTACGGCACAACTAGACTCCTGAACAGCCATAGAAACTATCGTTTGACCTTTGCTTGGTCAGTGTTTGGCTTGAAGATGAATTGAGCCAAGAGTTTGATGTGCAGTGTACAGGAGAATCTAGAATAGAGAACAAAAGAAAATGAGTGAACGACTCTGTAAGCACAGAAGACACACCAACATTTAGCAAAAAAGAAATGGATAACAGTTAGCAATAAAAAGTGGGGAGATTAAAGCAATCAGATAACCAGAACTAGTTTTCCAAAGCAACATTTTGACAGGACCTCGTATCAGGCGGTCAAACTAGGATCAATTGAAATCTGCTGCAATTTAACAACTTCAGTCCAGAATTAAATGATTTCAAATAGGTTTGGACGCAACAGAAGAAGCTTTCGCTTAACAAGCTCCTATATCCAGTAACATTGGATCACCAAAGTCTCCTGGTAAGAACCTAGGTATATTTGACGACAAAAGAGGAAAAATATTAGTAGATTATAGAGAGATACTGTCCTTAATCCTTACGAATGTTTCAAGTCCCTTTTTAAAAGATACCTGGGAAGCCTCTCAGACTAGTTCAGCCGGCAGCGAATTACAGCATTTGGCTACTCTTAAGGAATAGAAAAGATGCCCATAGTCCCTTCTGTTTTATTGTAGGGCTATCATTGATCTACGTGAATTTCAAGAACAACAAATGCACATCAGCTAATTGTACGCCATAGACTGGCCCATGGGGTGGTGGTTTCGCTATCTTCTCTGTTCTCATTCTTACTAATATAGTTCCGTAGTAACGTCCTGTGTTATACGGTCATCGAAGCATCAATAGTACCTTCATACGTCGAAGGGGCAATCCACGTTAGGTGCTGACCACGAGGTGTGACTTAGATGTTAGCTTTTTTACACCATTCCCGTTTAACTCGAGTAGGCTGCCAATCATTCGACATAGATGATCTACGTTAGCGATATATATTGTGTCTCCGGGTTCTGGGTGTTGCCCCTGAGGTTTGACTTGTAACCTGTCTTAAGTAGGTATTTAAGGAGATGCTCAGATGTGTTTAGGATGTTTTAATTCGTTGGAAGGTCACATCCAAGACGCTTATACTATAGCGGGGAAAGGTTCACCGGTTTGAGACGCTCTTCATAAAGATTGAATTTGAGCCCCCGGTAGAGGCAAGTAAATTCTCAGAATAAGTAGTTCCATGAATCCTCGGCATTTATACTGACCTCATCAATTTCACTGGTTGAAAGTGCTCGGTCATGCATTCGCACCAGATCACGAGGGGTACACCGTGCCACACATCTCTTACAACCTTCAATCAGCTTAGAGTAAACGCCTCCTGATATATCGATAGTCTTTCAAACACATTTCCGAACCTCTTCATTTCTGATTCCTGAGTTGGCTGGGTTGTTATACTTCGATTTTAAAGGTATTACATGTGAAGGCGTTGTCAAACTCCAAATACCTGTGGCACCCTGAACAGAGCTGATTTCGTGGCTCGCCGTTGGATACGTTCCAATGTATCCTTTAGATCATAGGGTGCCAACGCTCCAACTTGGAATATCTTCAGAGAGGGAGTACCCACTTAGTGTTAGTAGTCTACGACATATTCCAGATGAAATACTTTACATTTTGAGGTGTTAAGTGCAAGTCCGTTGTTGTCCGCCTGACTTCGAAGTCGAGTGAGATCCTTCTGAAATGTCAGCGTATCATATTGTTTGCAAACGTCGCTCCAGAGTTTCATATTATCAGCGAAAAGTAATAGGTCGGATGATGCATGCTGAAGAAATCGTTTACATAAATTACTAGAAGAGGTTCTAATACTGAACCCTGTAGGAGCACACTAAGATATTCCTTAGCCCGAGGAAAAGTGAAGTTTAACCTGGCCCTAAATAGCCGATTATTTATAATACGTAATGAGTCAGTCAGTTAACAGTGTTCTGATATCTAATCGTTTAAGCTTATTGATATGATTGACCTTACCAAAAACTTTTAAGAAGTCAAGATATATGACGGCAACCTTCTCCTTGCAATCGAGGATGGTTGACCATCTGTCTACTACATTCACCAGGTTGGTTATACAAGGATGACCCTCCCTGAAACCGTGCTATTAGGGTAAAATAATTTTATGAATAGCAGGTAGTCAAGCAGACCATCGCATATCAGGGATGGATTATTAATCAGCCTTCTGTATGATGGTAGGAATATTTTCGTTACAATTAATCTGTAATAGTTGTAATACAATTTATTGAACTCAATTTTGGGTTTCGTATAATTGTACAGTACTTGGTTAGAATTATGGTCTAGTTCGTTATTAGTGCTACGATAACAATAGACCTAATCCTAAAAGCATAGACTTGTCATAATGTGATTTCTTAATCTACTGGATCTTACGTGGAATTCACATCATTGTTTACATTGACTCATCGTATCGTAACAATTAATAAGATTCTTAGTACTTCTGAAGAACATATTTAGGCCGAAGATAGGACAATATATTTAATATGGAGATAAGCTATACAGAATGACCGCGTCTATGAAGCTGAGCCATGCCTTCCGATTGAATGCATGAATATTTCTGCGATCACCACTGTTGTTCTCTAAGTGTAAAAATTTGAATATCTATTTTCTCTTTTATCTCAGGTTCAGCTTTGGGAACTGTGTGGTTAGGACTAATATCACTACAAGTTCATTAGAAGAAGTCAGATACTGTAGCTAACTACTCTCAATAAATGTCACGTGGTTTGAATACTTAGAGGCCTCTGTAATAAGGGTAGATACTGTTCTTCGAATTCTTCTGGCAGACCAGTCTACAGACGCGATGAGATATCACTGAACCCTAGACAAGTCGTCAGGTAGTCAGGTCACTGCATGTCGAGCAGTTTATCGATTCCCATCAAGGTCAAGGGCAACCTCTGCGCATCAGTTAATTGCGCGCCATGGACTGGCTCACGCAACAGTGATCGCACTTTGTTCTCTATACCTGCATTTAAAAACATATTCATGTAATAACTTTTTTTGTTTTGCACGGTCATCAAAGCAGCCGAAGTACTTGAACATGCGAAACGTTAATCCACGTTAGGTACCAACCGTGAGGTGTGACTTCTACGATAGATGATTTTTGGAACCATTCCCGTTTAACCCGAGCACGTCCTCGATCGTCCGACACAAATAATCTACGTCGATGACCTACGAATCTTTTCTAGACAGCGGTTGACCGCTGATGTAAAGCGATACAGTCTTTTTCAAAAGAATTCGACCTAGAATTTTGTGAATATGTTAAAATCTATGTAGCTAAAGAGGTTCGAAGTTATTTGACACAATGCATAGAAATGCCCAAATGTTAATAATCCCTCAATCATCTTGTACCTCAACAACTGGTATCCAAACGTTATTTATCAGACATCCGTCTGTACCTTGGTGTCTAATGTGTATCTTAATGCAACTGAAGCTATTATTATGCGATTCCTGAAGAAAAAGTCATTCCGTTAACTTCGGCGGACATTTTTGAACCATGAATGTTTTTCCCTTCGGTTTGTGTGATTATTTAAAGACTGTCAGCCAACACCGAGCCTGATGAACTCAGATTTCAAACTGTCAAAGTTCAAGGGCCTTAAATGTTATCGAGAAGTGAGAGTGGGCAAAGATGTGTACTATTCCTGGAGAAAGACGAAATTAAGGTATGATAATATGAATTAATATTAAATATTGTTGAGAGGCAGAATTGAATATGTCTTTAAGTACATTGTAGTGGTCAGTGTATGTCCATAATTAGTAGCTCAATAGACAATCAGCAGCAATGCTGTCCTAGTCTTCGAGCATTAGTGATCCACTTGTTTTCATGAGGCACATTTATAACCAAAATACGTGTTCCAGTTATCCCAAGCAGTCGGGTTGTGTCAACTCACTTATGCTGCTATTTGGACGACCTTTATATCACTTGTATCGCAATGAGTCATCGTAGCTCTTCTATACGCATTTCTAATTTCCCTGAGCGAGTTAAATTGGTCATTTTGTTAGCTCTGGCTAATGTCTGTTAGCAAGGATTTTGGAGATTGTGTCGCTATCCTACTGCCAACACGTCCTCTTTTATACAGCAGAAACCCAAAACGACTACGGGTGGAGATTCAAATATAGATGGCTTCAAATGATCAATTTTGAAAATTACACTATTATATGCAGCCCTTATATATTAAGTTTATGGAAAAATGCTAGATATCATACACCTATTGAGCACTGAGAAATGATTGCTCAAACACTTTATGCTGTCTGGTAGCTAAAATACAGGCTAACCTAAAATATATCAACAGGTTCATGATTAAACAGGAATCGATAAATCAAGGAGTTTTGTCCTTCCAGACTTCTCATAACACTAGACAGCTGGAAGACTTTCTGAGACCAAACGGCCTATGTAGAACCCGTTGACTTCGATAAGGCTTTTGACAAAAAGTCGTACTTAGTTATAACAAGGGTCTTAAAGGTGAATTCCACTGACATGGTCTTAGAGAAACTTACCAAACCGACCCTCATTCATACTGTGATGTCGAGGTCCTTTTACGACTGTCAAGGACCTTACAGCGATGATGGAATGTTTGAAAACATAACCCCTCAAAATTTCATGTCATTAACATTACGCTTCACTGTCAACAGACAACTTAAGTCTTTTATGTGATTCCGCTCCTAACTGTCTCCCCAGCAGGTGATTTCGGGCTGCTAACAAGAGAGCTTAAATACTGGCCTAAAACACATTGGACATAGGGCTGAAACAAATATAGCCCTTCATTTTGTAAGAAGACAAAATATTGCAACCACCCCAAAGCTGTTTTTGACACCGTCTAAGACGTACTCACGGTCTTACCTCGAAGTTCACAACGTTGCACACTCCCATCTTCTAAAGAGACATAAGTCTCTTAGGTCGAATATAGAGAAGGGCAGCAAAGTGGGTGGTAGAGGATACACTTTAACACAGGATTATTATCGCCGAACTATATGAGAATAAGAGATTTGTTAATGGCATACAACATATCATGTAAGTCTG